AATACATACAAATGAGTGCAAAGTCACAGATAGAACTACTCGATAACCTCGTAAGTGCAATTTCACACCCTCATGATGTCAAAAGCACGAGCAAACACGCCTACCCTAAAACTTCAAAATCATACTCAACTGCTAATGGAGTGACAGTATCGCCAATATCGCTTGTTATCTACTCAGCTACAATGATACACTGACAAACACAACTCCCCTGACCAACAACATACCTCGGAATCATTCTTGCCTGCTGCAGGAGGGATCGTAGACAACTCAGTATCCACTTTCCGAGACATGCCCACGCTTGGGATGCCTGCGGTTTTCGGAGATATCCTTCCAGCTGTTGATGGCTTGCCTGTAGGTGCTGTCGTGGGTATGATTGAAACTGCTGCCACTGGCGTACTCAATAATTCTGTTGCTGGTCTACCTACAGATGTTGTTGTCATGGTAACGGTTCCTGTTGCTGGCTTATTGACAGTCGCTGTCGCCGTCGCCGGCTGTGATAAGCTTGGTGTTACTGTCGTTTCACCTGCATATGTGTTTGAAGCCATGTTCGCAGATGCAGTTGCTGATATACCTTCAGTAGCTACTCTAGGCTGTGACCAAGTTGCTGTTGGTATCCCGGCAACCGATATAGGCTTTGTACCGGCTTTTGTTAAGTTTCCAGCAGGTGCTGATGTGTGTGTTGATAAGGTTGTCACTGATATCCTTGCAGCGGTCAATTTCGACACCCCTGTACCAACCATTGTTTCCCCTACATTTGCTGCTGGTACTGTCTTCGCTGTGGTAATATCCTGCGTCTTCTCTAAAGCTGGTGGCACTACATGAGCTGTAACCCCGTCATTGAGTGACGGTCCCACTTTTAGCACACCCACAGCCGTGCTTGTCAAGGCGTCATCCAACGGAGCCGTTCTAACCATCGCCACTGTTGCTGATTGCGGTTTTGCGGTTGCCCCGCACTGCAGTATTGCTGTCACCTCGGCCGGTGAGTTTGCGTTCGAAGGATTCCTCGCATCCTTGTTTGCAGAGACTGTCGGCTGGGGATCCGTTGGCCCTTTCCGTGCTTGCACAGATGATTGTTGTTGCTTAGATGTGGGTATGGGTGTGGGTGTTCCTGAATGTATACCCAAACCCGCCGGTGTAGATGCAGCTGTACGCGCATGCGTTGCAGAAGGTGCTTGCGATTGTGCATTCTCCATCGACTGCGCTGTCTGCGGATGCTTCTGTGGCTGTGGCTGCGATGGAGTATGTGTTGCTGGTTTACCTTGAGATTGTGCTGGATCTGGTACATCTGTAGGCGGCCTCACAGTTGTTCTTCCTGATATGTTCGGTGGTACACTCTGTGGCTGCTGCGACAGGGTTGATGCCTGTGTAGTTGGCTTTACTATAGCAGCAGCAGGCGTTCGTACCGTCGTCTGTGGTCCACTCTGAGGCACTCTTTGTGGTTGCGGCTGTTTCTGTGTCTGTGCTCGCGGCTCTGCGCGTGCGTGTGTAGTAGACCTCCCCTGGGATTGGGCTGCTGCATTTCCCTGTGTAGGTGGTTTTACTACCGTAGGTGTTTGCGTTCGAGCTGTCGTTTGTCCTACCTCCTTTGCCTGTCCCTGAGCCTGGGCCCGTGTCTGTGGCCGTGATGCAGACTGAGTCTTCTGCGCATGTTCCTTTACCGGGATCTTGGCAGATGACGTTGGGTTTGACTGTCGCGATGTAGGTGAGGGTGTTGGTGGTATAGCACTCGGCTGTATTTGAGGCGAGACACGTATCTGAGTACGTGCTTGTGCTGTACCTGTATCTGAGTTGGAGATCTCCTCCAGGATCTTGTCGTTGGCAATTCGCGCGTTTGCTTCTTCTAGCTTTTTCTTTCGCTCCACTCTCTTTTTCTTTGTACTCGCGCAGGTCTTTTTATGCGCTCCCCAGTCTTCTCTCTGTAGTATTGAAGTATGTATATATATATATATATATCACTTGATGAATAAAAACTGGCTATACATGCATACAACAAACGTCTTGACTCAAAAATTAACTTCCAGACTACCGCAACACATGCATACGAGGTAGTATATTTTTATAGGTCGAAGTGTGAGATATAAGACATGTGAATCGCAATCCTGAGATAGAATTGATGACTATGGTGTTTCAATCACTCTATACCCACTTGGCTTTCAATCACTGATCTGCAACATATATTAAAAATATGTACCTAAACAAGTATTTAGATACATA